ATCACATCCCTCTAATAACAGTGTGAGCATGCACCTTGGAAAAGACATAGGATGAGAATTTTCCTTCCTTGTTTAATTTTTGTTTGCAAAGCTGAAGAGCTCTGCAGGGAACTAAAATGAATAGAAAAGTCTGGTTTAACATAGCTTTTGGGCATTCTTGTTTCAGTTCTGTATCTTTTAACCTCCGGGGCATAATCCTTCCTCCTAATCAATCCCCTTTTGCATTCCTTATGGGTTCTCTTCTTACTTTTAACACACAGTTTAAGATGACTCTCATTCCAGGGAGACCTATACTCCTTCCTACTAGTATCATCTTGCTTGCTGCTAAAACTTTTTTGATTCAAAGTTATTATATGCCTCCTCCACGTTCAAATATGTAATCTTCCCAGTACTCAGTAAATAGCCTCAGTTTTTCAGTTTGCCTTTGTAAGGCCCCAGAAGCACAGATTTATCTTTTACGTTTCTCAGAGAGAGATTTGGACAAAATTGAATCTGCTCTAAGTGTAGTTTTTATGTCCAGACCCATTAGGTCTTGCTGTTCAGTGAATGCATAACACATCATTATTTTTTGCTAGTTCACTGATTGTTTGGGGAAAAAAAAAATCTACCTTCATTTACTTCCAAGAATACCCAAGACCTGACTTCATCAGAAAATAAATTTGGAAAAAAAAGTTACAGTATTCAAAAGTCCAGTTTTTCGATGGACATCTTTTGTGTTTAGTCTGGGTAAGTTAAAGACTTCCATGATCACATAAATTCCACTACTACTTGCTGCCCTTAACCCCCACCACCCTGCCCCACATCAAAATGGATATTATTATTATCCAGTTCCAAAGCTTGCATATTTCTCAACATCCCTCTTCCTGGTGGTCCCTTTTATTTCACTAACAGACAATTATATCTCATGGCCCATGTATATATTTCTCACTTCCCTAATCAGTTTATACCCTTCAGTTCTTTAATCCAGAGTACATAATGGCTACCTGCCTACCCTATCTCTATCACTACTACAAGATTTGAGTCTGTATTCAGTACTAGGAATTTTAATTGCTTCATCCCATTGTTCAGGCTTCCAGCAGTAGGGAGAAAAGCCAGTTCCAGTGATGCAGCCAGTGTACTTGATGTATCCTCTAATTTGTCATTGTTAAACATCCCTTTTTTTCTTAATTTCATCTTCATGCAACTATGCCTCATTCCCTTTCACTGTCTGTAGCAGGTTTAAGTAGTTAAGAAATTTTAGCAGCTTTCTTTCCTGGCTTCCTAGTTTAGAGCTTGTTTTAACAGTCTTGTCTGCTGTCAGCCTAGGAAGGTCTGTCCTGTAAATTAACTGGATTTCCTTCTTTGAGCATAGAAACATAATTCCTACATGCAACACAGAGGCCAAACACTGTTATACCTTCGTAAGAGCATCACACCCTGATTTTTCAGGATTCGGGTCAAAGGGCCTGAATCTACCTTCTCCAGAGGCCAAGTCAGGTTCCCATGAGCTTCAAATGAACCAAATGAAGGTTGATTTTATGGGAATGACATATAAAAGCAAGCAATGCTTACAAACATTATATTTTATCACATGTGCACAGAGGGATTACACCTGCCATTATGGGAAACTCAAGAAGTAATCCACCCCCCCAGTCCTTGCAATGGGCCTCCATGACTACACTTCTTTGTGTACCTATTTTGCCACTACAGTCCCATTGGCCTCCATCTATTATCACTTCATTTAAGAAACTGTAAGATCAGAGAAGTGCAGAGGAGCATGGCAAGGACTCAGGGAGAACCTACTATTCTTCTCAGTCTGTTCAGAAGTTTTAAGTGTCCTGACAGCAATTAAATGGAGTTAGTACAAATATACTGCCGAGTGGCACAACGCACTAAGTAGGTAAAATCTCAGCCAATATAGCATCAACCTCCTTGCTCCCACATCTGTCCCTAACCTTCTGCTCTTCCTGGGAGAGATATACTTCCCAGGAGTATCTTTTAATAGGATTAGGAAAACAATATGAATTAATTTCATGCTTAAAGAGCTGAGCATTAAATTCAACTGTAAAAGGAACTGAATGCTCCTCCAAATTAAGGAGCAGTAACACACTTCTTTTTTTGTTTGTTTGTTTTAAACATCAAGATCCTACAGGACAAAGCCTCTTGCTTTCCAAATCCACATTTTGAACTGCTCAGAATAAGGAACTGTCTGCAGTTCCATGAAACCGTAATGCTCTCTGTGGTATTTCCATCATTGCTCTTGTCCTAAAAGCATTTGTCTTGACATCCCTTACTGCTGGTGCCACCAAACACTCGTAGGCAATAGGGCACAGTCTGGGCCTTCTTATGCTGAGATCTGAAAAATCAATTGAATCTCCAGCAGATGGAATCACTGGAGCAGAAAGTGACTAAACACTAACAGTTATTCTGTGATACCAAAGCCCTGAAAGAGGATACTACAAACATACAAACTATGAGAAAAAAATAGGGTGATTATATTTACAATAACTCTCTGCATGGTATTGTTATTTGGGGCTCTCTCCTTCTACAGGTATGCTACTATTCACTGCTAAATTAATTTTCTCTCAAAACATTTTCTATTCACTGATAACACATAGATATATTATATGATATGCTATGACACACACTGATAGATAACATCACATCATGATAGTGAAGCATGCAGAATATTTCTATTCCCTTACCATTCTGCACTAAAAATAGAGTAGACTGACAGCAGAGTTTTTACATCCTGTGATAGGAAACATGATTTTTATTTCTATTTCAAAATTGTGTGATTCTAGGTTCTATATTCTTATTTTACTAAATAAAATCTAATTATTATATCCTGCGCATAGTATCTATTATATACAATTTAGTCCTGGGTGTAAATAATTACAACCTGGATCCTCTTTGTTCCCATTTTTCTTCCTTCTTTTTTTCTGCCATTCTCTATATTTTCTGCTGATTCTACCAGCATTTTCTCACCTTCTCACATCTTCTCCAATCTTTGTTTCTCTCTTTCACTTCACATATTGCCTTGTATATCTGTGCTAACACCCAGCTGAGCTGCAGGGAGGATTTTTTAGTGTACTCTATTTGTGTCAGTCCTATCATAACATACTCAGGATGTTACTTGAAAGCTTCTGGTATAAATATAAAGAAGTCATATTATCTATTCCCAAAAGAATGGTAATCATAACCTTTTAATCATAATGCTAATCATATACATATTTGAAAAAACCCAAACATTTTATGGTTGAGCATGGGAATAGATGTAAGAAGATATGTGTTCTTGTCTTGGCTTTTGCACAGACTTGTGGTTGCAAGGAAACTATCTGATTTTGTTTTCTAGTTTGGTTTACCTGTCAAAATAAATGAATAATACTGGCCTTCTTGATTGGGTGATGCTTGATTCAGCTAATGTTTATAAAGGCTTTGAAAACACTATGCCAGGCTAAAGAGGTGCAAGTTATTATTAGCTGTCAATTACGTTTTATAGAAAACATTGTGGCTGAACACTCATCAAACTAGTAAATTGCTGGAAAGAAAATAGAGAAAAGAGAAGAAAAAGTGGGAAAAGGCAGGTTTGGAACAGAAAAAATTAGAGTCCAAGTGTAATCCAAAGAAGCAAACTTTTACATTAAATCTTCATAGTCTGCACTGCTACTCCTCACCTGCAGTGTGAGACTTCAGCGTACACACACAGCCTGGTCAAAATTAAACTCCGCAGCTTTCTGTTTAAACTCTGTGCTGTAACTCCACTGATGCTAATGGCATGAGGTCAATTAACTTTGATCTATAACGACAAGAGCACTAGCTCCCTAATTTAGTGGAAAAAATAAACTTTCAGCAACCCTGAACACCCCCTATGCAGTCCCCTACGTGTGCTGCCGATCAGAGCTATAATTGAGCACACTCTAGCGGTCTCTGACATGCCAAGAACACTGTGCACACAGAAGTACAGCCAAACAGAACAAACGGGTTCAAACATTTAACTGTGCAATATGACACAATGGCTCAGCTGTGGACAACTCACCCGTGGTCTTCCAGTGGTTTCAGAACCTCTGGCCTAAAGACTGATGACATTTGATATTCGTAATTTCTACTTTCTGTACCCTTGTTTCTCCATGAGGTTATATAATGTCTTATAAAACTGGCTAGGGCAATTTATGGGAAAAAAAATGCACGTCACTAGATTAACCAGTTTGAGATCATAATTTATCTCTAATGGCCTTTCTTTGACAAGAAGAAAACAAAAGAAAATTAAAGCTGATAGGGCTGTTCTAGTAATGTCAAAAGTTGGCATTCTTCATCAGTCTTTAACTTAAAAGCAGTCCTTGTCAGAATAATGATAAAGGCATCATAGAAATTTTGCTTTTCATCTGTCTGGCATATAAATCAATGATCCAGAAAACAAATCATTATATATGTATTTTTTTTAAAAAAGTGAATATAAAACAAGCCAGCTTGTCTACCTTTTTTATTCATCTCTGACAGAGTCAGTTATACCATTTCTCCGAGCACTCACTCACAGCTGAAACTGCTCCCCCCTCCCAGTTATAACACTGACCCCGTTTAGAGAGCACATCACAAACAGAGGCACTGAAATCAGGAGCCTTTTCCAGGGTGTGAGCTGACATAATGGGCGGCTTTGCTTCCTCTGGGGAGCAAGCACTCTCTTTATCACTAGGACAAATGACCTGGAGGAGAGGTATCCGAGGCTAGACACTCTATTTCCTTATAAATGCCAGATCAGATCATAACACATTACTGTGACTCACTGTGTTAATGACCAAGCACTTCGATTTGCAGGGAAGGCACGAAGACACATCAAGCTGGAGCCAAGCTCTGGGTATGTCAGAGTACACTTTCTAAGCAGGAACAACCACTTTTATAAAACTTCCCTTTCCCTTCCAGTACACAGCTTTGAAATTCATAGTTACAAACAGACCAAACCATTGTCAAATCAACAGCAAGCAAACAGCAACAAAAAACCATTACCAATAAGCAAGGCTTACCTTACAGTAACTGCAACCTGTTAGAAACAGTGCAAAGGAGTGTCTTTCACATGAGGGATGGGTGGCTTTCAGCTCTCAAGGGGGGTCCTCTAGGATTCTTCACTTTGGATTGTTTTCTACCTTTTTTTGAGTGCAGATCCTTGTTCCTCAGAGTGGGCAAGTGCCAGCAACTGTATATCCTTTCTCAGAAGTACAAGACTCCACCTCGTGCCTCTGTAATCCTTAAAACTGAGAAGGATTTCTGAGCCTAAAAAAATTAAAAAAAAAAAAAAATCAATTATTTTTCAGGCTTGAATTAGTAAAAAAATAGAACTGGAACTATTCAATATTTTGGAGGAATAAAAAAAAATATCACCATCACTATGGGAGTAATTAAAGACAAATTAAGAAAGAGGAGAAGTAGAGAAGGGAAATAAAGTTTAGATGACAGAATATGAGACAGAGAGAAAAGAAAATGGAATCAAAAGCAAAGGATTAGAAACAAGAAAAAGAGGGGAAGAGTTTAATAAGAAAAAGGAAATACAGGAAATAAAAATATTCCCTTTCCCTTTGATGACTCTGTTAAGATTAAGACAAGTCTGGGAGAACATGGAAAATGTTAAATACTCACAGTTAATAAAAAAGGCTTCTGGAGGGAAAAAATAAACACAACAACAACAACAACAACAACAACAAAACAAACTCCCCCCAAAATCCAAACAGAAGAAACCTAGGAAATTAGAAAGAGAATGCATGCAGAAAGGAAAAATATAAAGGTGTAAAAGAAGGACATAGGCTTCACATATTATGGAAGCCTAGATCAGAATTGCTCATCAGATATTCAGTTCATGTCAGGTCATGACAGACAGTTTAAGTAAACAAAATGCTTACTGGATCAAAATAACATGTCTGAGGCAGAGAGCAAAGTAGAACATGGTATCTTAGGCTCCCCCAAAAGAGATATTTTAGGTTAAAACTTTCAGACACTGTACCCCCATGCTTTACAGGAAAGTTAGGAAAAGGATTATTCTTGTTAGATTTTCTAACACTCTGACATGTTATACAAAGACAATGAGATATATCAAAACAGAGGGTACTGGAGACTTTAATTCAAGCTCCTTTGATAACACAATTCTAAGGATGTATAATTCTTCTCAATAAAGGTGTTCAGAAGTGTTCCTCAACATAGTATTCGAACACATCCTTGGAGGCAGGGAAGCAATGAAATGTATGGCCAAATGAGAAGCATAAGCGCAACAGTGTTTGTTTCTGTTCACGTCAGATGGACTATATTCTCTTCCAAGTCTAAGAAATCTGTGAGAAAATGTGTTGATTCTTTGAACTCTTACTGCTAGACTGTTTCAGAAACTCTCAGTGACTGAAATGTCCTAAAAACAGTATTCAAACTTAAGTACCTATCGTGACAAATAGATGCTGGCAATGGGCCCTGCAGAGGTTCTGTCTCCATCCTCTGCCGAGGATATTACGTTCCTGCCTACTGTGCTTTATCTGTCTTTATCCTCTAAACTAATTGAAATCACATCTTTATCTTCTATTACTTGGATGTCCTTCCTGTTGTTTCCACCTGAAGTCACTTTCTTAATGGAGCTCGTTTGCTTTTCCATGGAAGTGGCATAAATAATAGTGGATGAAGAAACACAACAGGTTCGGTGAAGTTGGTTATAGTCAGTGCATCTTAGCTGGCTAAGTCTTAGATTAGGAATCAAAGTGAAACTTTCCCAGACATAACATTTCTAAACAGCAACTTTAAAAAAATCCACTTCTTTTGCTTTAAAAGTTGATGATAATGCTTTCTTCGCACATGTCGTACTATGTTAAAGGTAAAGCAAGACCAAATTCTAAACAGGAAGTTTTGTCTGATATAAACAGCCTGTCTTCACAGGAGAGGTGTTCCAGACCTCTGATCAGCTTTGTTGCCTTCCTCTGGATTCACTCCAATGTGTCCATGTCCTTCTTATTTTGGGGGCCCCAAGCTGGATGCAGTACTCCAGGTGGGATCCCATCAGAGCAGAGCAGAGGTGTAGAATCCCCTTCCTTGACCTGCTGGCCACGCTGCTTTGGATGCAGCCCAGGATACAACTGGCTTTCTGGGCTGCAACTGCACATTGCTGGGTCATGTCCAGCCTCTAATCAACCAACACCCCCAAGTCCTTCTCTCCAGGGTTGGTCTCAGTTGGTTCTCCACCCGTCCTGTATTTGTGCTTAGCATTGCCCTGACCCCCGTGCAGGCCTTGATGAACCTCATGAAGTTCCCACATAGAAATGTCTGCATGTAAAACCAGAAAATATTTGGAATTATTGTTTCAGCTTTGCCATGTATGTTTATTTGCAATGAATGTTCCTTTTTCTTCTTAATGTGTTCTTGGTGCAAATATTAAAAAATATTTTAAAACTTCTGTCATTTATATTGGTAATAATATTTTGCAATAATTTTTTAGCTTAAATTGTTTACTACGCTTTTTTAAGGTGATTTTTTTAAAGAGTTAATACAAGTGCCTTATTTTGAACTTCAGAAACATTCCTGTTGATAGCATTTACCAGAAATATAAAAATTAGCTACATAACAAAATACAGTAGTCAAACCAGGATTTTTTTCCAAGCCAAAAAATTTATTTGCTAAGCTTGTTATATTTCAAACATCTGTTAATCATGTCAGCCTTTTTTTTAAAAAGCCTGGATTTTGAGGAAGGCATAGTTATGCAGGGTAGCCGTGATGAATAAATAAGTGCTGGAATTTCTAATCCTGGGGACGATTTGCTGATGCAAACTGAGTACAAATGGATTTCAATTGCATTTTTTTCTACTTGTTCCGTATACACTTGATAGCGTGCAAAACTTCATACTAGGGATTTACACATGTAAGGCTGCATGTACACACACACATTGCCCAGAGTGAATCATGCCAGAAAATTAGACTTTCAAAGTTTCCTTTTCAGTGGTAACAGAGAGTGCCCTGCACTAGATAGGCTGGAGACCCATTATACTCAGCTGTATGTAAAAAAGACAGTTTCTCAGCTAATGAAACCATATATCTTTTGTTCAGTCCACAGTGCAACATAAAGGTGATCCTTTGAATTAAACTTCCATAAAGCAGCTGTGATAGTGGCTAAGCTGAGTATCCACAAGAACCTATGGAAATGCATGTTTCATAGCTGTGGACAAAGATAATGGCATGCAAGGAACGCTATTCCAGAAAATGATGTAGCCTTTCATCCCTAATAACCAAATAAAAAATGGGAAGTCAGTACTTGGGAGCTACTCTAGCAAGCAGATCTCCAAGAAACAAGGTTCCCCACAGACTCTTCCTTGATCTTAAAGCTTAACGTGAAACATTTATATGCACATAGCACCTGGCCAGAAGACGTGGGAAGGCACTTTTATCACACTGGCTGTATTTCTTTCTTAAATAATAGATTTCCTCTTTTTTTTTGCCCTCTCCTGGAAATGGAACACGTCCTCAGTAATGTTTCTGTACTTTTTTTTAAAACATTTTAAGAACCAGACAATCTTGAACATCTCAATATCACACAATTTTGAGAAATATTAACATCCCTCAAACTGTCTGGTGATGAATTGCATCAAAGCTTTCGAAACTCAAAACTATGTGATTAAAAAAATGTTAAACATCATTTAGATGAAGACTTTATTGGGGTATTAATGGAATGCTAATCTTCCACCCACATTTCTTTGACATCCAGGTCCATGGATAAACTGTGCATAGACTAACTAGATCCAACTGAAACTGCACCAGTCAGTTCAATTATGTACAGTATTTTCCCAAAGGCATTCCACAGGAGTGAAGAACAACGGTATGTGAACCTTAAATCGCTGCTCCAAACTATTTCCAGCTTCACAGTGGTTGACTCGCCTGTGTCTTAAGCAGGAGTTAAGGTATCAAATATGTAATATGCACATAAACCTGTACATACTGCAGCTATATATTTGTATCCTTCAAATTATTCATTTTTATCTACATCCCTCATGTAGCACACAATCTGTTACAGATGCAAACTTCCATGATAGCAACATAAAGCAAACTTGATGCTTCCAGTGAAGCAAACAGGAAAACACACCAGGAATCAAATGACAAGCACCTCAGTGCAATGCTTATTTGTCTTTGACTACATGAAAAAATGACAGGGGATTTCCACATGGATTTTAGTTTTTTTTTTCAATATTAGTATTTCCTTTACAAATAAGAAATCCCAAAATATGTTATCCATTAGGACCAGTGCCTGTTTAGCGCACAGACTGACAAAATAAAACCATTTTTGTTTGCGCAAAACAACTCTTCACATCTTTTTCAAACAAAAAGGTTTGATTTTGCTTCAGCATTTCGGCTGAGAACAAACCAGGAAAAAAACAACAAAAAACCCAAAAACCCTAAAAAACCCCCTCCAAACCCAGATTACTCAAAACTGCAAATTATAGCACTTGTTCATTTGAGTTCTTGACTGTGGCTTCATTGCTACTGTGGTATAAAGAGATTTTCTGTGGTTTAAATGTGAGAGAAACTGTGAAAGAAGTTTTTACCCTGGTTACTTCTATGGTCTGGGATGTGCAAAGTTTTGACACCAAATTTTAGCCTTAAATAACCCCTCACTAACTGCATCTCAACTTCGTCCCTTTTTAAGTATTCCTAGGAACTTGAGAAATAAACATTAAAAAGGTCATAAGTACACAAGAGAAAAAATAGTTGTAGAGTCTGCATACAACTCAGGCAGTAACAAATGCAATTAGATCCAGGAAAAGTAAATGAGGGAATATTGGAAAATTTCACCATCATTTTCACTTCTCACTACATCTTTGCTTTGCATCACTTAAGATTAGGATTTGAAATGAGAGGAAGCAGTAGGTCTCCTTCCTCTTCAACAGAACAGAATGTGAAATACCTAAAACCATTTTGGGTTAGTACAGCTATTATAACTGAGCTCATTTCTCCAGACAGTTATTTTAGATTTGTATTTTTGTGGGAAAATAACAAATATTCCTCTTTTCTGCCTTCCCCCATGTGAGGTGTATTGTTTCCAGTTAACACTTTGGAACCCGAGGCACGGGACATTCTCTGCACAAGCCAGCAGGAAATCAGCCCTCCCCTCTGTGCTCTCTCTCTCTCATGCTTTGAAACTCTTTAAGGGCACTTATTGGTTTCCCTGCACTTCTCAGGAAACAAACTTCAGAAAAATCAGCAAAACATGAGGCCACCAGTTTTCAGTTAGACCATTTAGAATTTGGGCAGCTTACTCT